AATGATGAGTAATTTTTCTTCAAGGGTCCAGATATGCTTGCTGAGTTCGATAGAATTTCTACATCCTTGCGATGTAATGCTCGATGCGTTTGCAGAGCGTGGTATATCTGAAAAGTTGAACTAATCAATAAGACAACTTTTCTTTCACAGAAAAGTTATGTCTTATTGATTAGTTCAACCTTCAGATATATTTATATATATATATATATTTTCCGTTTTACAGTGCTCGATACGTAGGAGTAGAGCGCGAAATATGTTGCGCTTGTGGAAAAAAACTGAGAGACTATACTTTCATCCCTACATGCCTGTTTCGTGACAGTTCATACTTCAATTGCTATGCAGTCACGTTTTGTTTCTGTGGTGGCATAAAGACACGAGCTAATTATTATCTTTACTATCTTTACCATTATTATTATCATTATTGTTATCATTATAACCATCATTCCAATTAAAACTATGTCATATATCTCCAACGTGATTGTTTCTCATCAGCCCGATTTTAATAAGAGTAGGAACTGGACTTTGGACAGGATGCGTCATGTGCATGTGCTGTTGTCGTGCATTTCGGAGTTTTCTATTGATTTTATTGAAGACGTAGAACCGTTGGCTAGTTTTTGTCCCAAAAATCTTTCTCGTGGTCGTGCGATTCTTTTAATAACTCTTACGTCAGCCCCTGACTTGACCTGACCTGGGTCTCCGAGGATGGTTTTCAGTCTGATTACCACTACCTTTTATAGCTATCGCTATTATTTTTGTTACTTTCAATACTGTCATAATTGTTAATAGTAATATTTTGTAATCGGTGCTTCATAAAATTACTAAAAACACGGCGCCCTCGCGATTTGTTTGACTGAATCACCATTGATATGCCGCATTTTTCAGTTCATTAATAAAATTTCCCTACTGCTTTATAGCAGTTTACCGACGTACTGTATGACGTATTGATGATAAGAGACACCTTGTTACTAAATTGGTGACTTTTAAAAGAGATAATAGGGAATGTACAAGTTATTAAACCGTAGATTTAAACTAGCGAGAGCAATGCTAACCCAATCTTGGCTGGAATAAGTGATTAATACATGTCTGACAATTCTCTTTGCACTGATTAAAGTATCGAAAAGGCCGCCAAAGAACTTGATGCTTTGACTCGTTTCTAAGTCAAAGACTTACATAACATTGGAGTGGCTTTCTATGGTCAACTTCGATAGCTAGCTCAAATGTCTGTTACAATAACACCTGTTAATAATAGCAAAGTGAGTTCTATATCGAGCGTATCGCTTCACTAACATTGGGCAAACTGAAATTTGGAAATAAAAGTTCAAGCAGTCATGAGCAATGCAAATCACCGGCGAATAAAATAGTATTAGCAGACAAACCATGTCCTTGTTGTGACTTCCCCGGCTGTGAATAAGTATTTATGCCGCCATAGTTATTAGTAACTCAAACATCTGCCAAACAACGTGTAGATTCTGGGGTTTCATAAAACAAACTAAGAGCTCTAATAGACGTACCTTTGGATCTCAATATTGAGCTCGACGGAATGAAGAAATTTAGAGGAATTATTCCCAAAGAGATGTACATATCACGTTGAAACTCTGCTACAAATTTGAATGAACGTCGATTCAGCGAAGAGTTGACAGTCGACCGCAAGTTGAAAAAAAGTGAAATTAATTACTTTGTTAGGTCCAAGGGGGAACTAAGGTTAGCATTCACTTCAACAAAGAAAAAGTCACACAACTTCCTCTTTTATTTGAAGTCAAGGGGCCAAGGAAATGTATTTCTCAGGAACGAATGTTGCATGTTTCACTCATCTATATATCTTTCTATTTATCTCTTTATTAATTCACTTTATAGTGTTGATAAAAACACGTGTGTGTCACGGTCGTGGTTCTATTGACCTATTCATGTCATAATTATCTTCAGACAAGAAGCTGGCAAGGTTTTTGTATGTTTTCTATTGAAGCAGAGACTATTTAACAGGAAATCGTTATGCTCAATTAATTTCATCTGTTCGTTTAAGTTAAGTTTTTTTGGTTAACAGGGTTATGTTTGCACGAGCACTTGGCCCGATCACGTTCGGCTGGCGAGATTTCAAAACGGAGTTTTCATTTGAAAACGCAGTAATCTCTTTATTCCGGTTGAAACGATAGAAACGCATGATTGCGTCCATAGGCATGCGACTAATATAGGTTGAACCATCTCGATCGTGAAAAAGGACAGTCATGCTCATGGCAATGAATGCTTAGAAAAAAGCAGCAACTTGACAATTCTGGGTTTGAAAATAATTATTCCATGGTACACATGCAGTTTGCTGTTTACTGAATTTCAAAACTTCCCTGTATTTCCCCGGAATGCATATGCATATAGGACCATGTCAATCTGGACCTAAGGGGGTAGACTTAGGGCTTATGTATTTCTAGTGGCAAAATGGAAAGGAGAAAATAAACTGTATCGTTTCCTTCAATAATGGCGCCGAGCGTCTTACGGTATTAATTAGCACGCGTGATAAAAACACTCATGAACACACTACCCATGAGGAAATCAAGACAACAATTCTTTTTCACAGAAAAAAAAGCCGTTAGCTTTCAAAGATTGAGTACAACAGAGTAGCTGTGCTTGTTCTCCCACGAGTATACAGAAAGTTTAACCCATTAGTGCCAGCTTATCCAATGGGACGGAAATTCCGAAAAATCGCATACTTGGTGCACCTTAACTTCGCACCATGGTGAAAGTTGGAGCAAGTCTTTCCCAATATATAGCGACATTGGTGTCCACATATCATTTTCGAGTTCCTTTCTTTTTCCAACGAAATGTAAAGACAAAAAATAATGAACAAATTCCAATTGTTCACGCCTTGTTTCGTTCTCAGAATCTTCTCCTGATCGACGATCGGAAAGAGAACGTTCGATGAAATAATATATATGCAACTGACCTGGAAGTTAATCTGCGCCGGGAAAGTGCTCACTAGAGCGGCAAATGTTTCTCAACCAACTTGGGTTCTAAACTGAAGCTTGTTATCTACCGCTGCTGTATTTTTAACAGTATTAGACACCTTTGACGACAGGGTGAGCTAAGAAAAGTAAGTATTGGAGGATTTTGGTTGTACCACGAGGAAACTTATTTGATCAACCAATAATGATTTCTATAAAAGTAATGATCTCCTCTGCTTTGGCAGTCGATTTTCTCTATATTTTCCCCTTTAAAATCTGTTGGAAGCGACAGATCTGCCCTCCGTTCCCTTGAAAACAATTTGATCCTCCTCCCCCAAAAGTTTTGGAACCTACCTCCCCCCCAGCGATAAATAATGACATGCCTCTAGAAAGATTTTTTTCTCGCTAACATAGCGAAATCAGGCTACAGTGAGATGTTCCAGTTCTTCTTTCATCATGAATACAGTTTGTTTCAAACTTGCCCTTGCATTGGTGGTAGATACTGACTTCTATCTTTATGGCTGGAAGGGGTAGTGTTGCATACTAAGAAACAGTGGACAAACCATTTTTTTGGAGTTCGGCAACCCAGCTCTCGATAGAATTTAAAGTCACAATGTCTATTTTGAGATTTATTTTACACTAGTCCGAAGCCCTTCTTGCGACTCGTCACGAAAAGAGGAGCATGACAAGAATTTTTGAGGATTCGGAACCAGTTTTGTGGGATAAATGGAGCTCTGATCTTTTATATTTTGATTGGTCATCCGGATCCGAGCTTGCTATTCCACCTCTGGTCGTAAATCAATTGGCAGTAAGCATATACTCACAATAAAGACACTCAAGTAAGCCTTTAAAATGGCTTAGGAGACGAAGAGACAGTTGGAGAAACCACACAACTGCAAGAAAGGTCATTTCTTTCAGTATTTTTTTTTGTTCCCTTAAGCTTGAACTTTTTTTAAAGTAGGTATTGTACTATACACCTGCTCTGACAGTAGTAAATGTTATTTAATTACACTTTTTTTTGCAAAATAAATTTCAATTATTAAACGAAAAGAAATACAGGGGGATGGGGTTCCCAGGTGTCCGTGATCCCCTCTGTAAGCCTTTTTTGAGCAAACAAACATTAATATTCAGGTGGCGAAAACAGGTTAGAATCCTCTGTTTGACACAGTGTGACCGCCCCCCCCCCCCACCCTCCCCTTCAAAAACTTAAAAAAATCCTGGCTACGCCCTGTAAGAGCAAAGTGATTAGTGGCCAAGGGAACAAAAGCTTCCAAATCGGCGACTACCACAATAAAATTGGTGAGGACTACGTAGTAGGATATTTTAACTTAACTTGATCAATTACTTAAATTACCCTTCCATCTATATTGGAAGGGTAGGGAAAACCACACGTTTGTATCACCGTCATGTTTTTAGGTAAAGCCTGCTCTAGGGCCCCAAAAAGTCAATATATACACCTCATTCAATGGTTTAACATATAATACACGCAGATATTTTGCGAGTTGTGTGGTATTTTTCCGAGCCCGTAGGAGCGAGGAAAAATACAAACAATGAGCAAAATGTCAGCTCGCATCATTTTTTAAACCATCGAAGAAAGGATGTCTTTTGGCTTCTAGGTTTAAAAACTTCATATGGTTCAATCTGAGCATTGCACTGATCACACAAGGAACACGCGAAAGAATAAAGCATCACCAAAGAAGCCATTTATGTGTTCCTGATGGCATTTTAAAAAAAAAAAATTCTTGTGGGCTTCGAGGCTAGTTGCTGAGAAAATCATGTCAAAAAAAAAACTGAAAAGGAAATTAAAGATCGAGTGGACCGTTTTTGTTCGTACTGTTGCCCTGTTCTACAGTGTAATACCGGAACTGAACTCTAGGCGTCGCAAATGTTGGAGGGTCGTTGAACTGATATCAGCACATTAATCAACGGACCTACGATCCAATATAATTTATTCCACTCGTTTTCGATAACTTTGAACTAAACTACAAACAAAAGGCTAATTTAAGCGACACGGAATTACCAAGGCCGTGAATAACAAAAAATTACGTGCATTACAAAATTACGTGCATTACAAAAAATTCACGAACGCACGATAAAACTAGCAATAATCGAGGTAAAACTTAAACGAGATGAAACTGAAAGAATACCAAGCCAAGCTTACCGATTGTCATCTCTGTACGCCTGGGAACAGTTGGAACTTAACGTAGTGAAATTCGCAGAATAGTGACGACTTTGAAGACGTTCGATTCGCGACACAACAACGCGATAGAGCCACAAAGCACGAGGTTCAGAAATATGACCTGAACACGTCACCAATATCTTATTTTATATACAGAAATACCCAGCCCGACAGCAGTTACAAATACTGTGGCATTTTTTGCGCGTTCCATTGTCTTAATATGGTGAATTGACATACTAGAGGAAAAACAAATGTTTAGATTTTCAGCACATCATTATGTCTCTCCTCCGCCCACTTCCTTCTTTCGTTGTTCTTGGTTAGGGATATTATCTAGTTCTTCGGCACTTCCATCAACGTTAGAATCTGCTTGAAAAGTTGAATTTATGACTCCACGGGTGTCATCTGGGGTGTGCAGATCAGGCTTCCAGATTTTCACAACCAGATAGATATTGATTGCAAGACTAATTACGAGAAATCCAGCAAGTAGACCGGTTAACCAGTTAAAGACTTCCCCATCTTCCTTTTCTAAGAATGAACAGTTTTTTTTTTCAGTAATGAATTACTATACAAAGTACATGCACTATGTAACGCTGTAGATCACAGAAACCACCAAACACAGTGCATATTGAATAGCTGATATTTCATTGTGGCTTAATGTTTTGTGTGAATTAATAGGGAAGGAACATGTGTGTTCTATTCGTATGGGATATATCGGGGATCATTTTTTTTATCGCATAGTTGGACACCAACAGAAAAATTCAGCTAATTACATTACATTAAATTCGTAAAGATTTCGATCGAGTTTTCGCCTTTTTTTTTCCTTTCTTCAAAATAATAAAGCTAACATACAAACAAAGAAAACAATATCACCACTCTTTCTGGCCATGTACCTTCAGAAAAGATGCCTTATTGCACCTTAGCTAACAAAAAAACCAAGATCACCAATAAAGAACCTTTTGAAAGCTTAAGCAGTGATCCTCGCTAAGTGACAACGGAATATTTAGGTTGTTGCTGTAACATAACTAATAAACTAAAAAAAAAGTGGAGCAATTCATTTAAAGAAAAGAAGAGGAACAGAGGTTTATTTACCTGGGAAAGGTGAAGCTGAGGGACCTGGGGTCTCTAAGAAAAAGTAAAAATAATAATACCAAAAAAAAAAATTCTAACCTGCTTTTATAATATCCTCCCACTGAGTGATTGTAAAACAAAACAAACAAACAAAACAAACAAACAAAACAAAATAAAACAAACAAACAAACAAAACAAAACAAAACAAAACAAAACAAACAAACAAACAAACAAACAAACAAACAAAACAAACAAACAAA